CCCAAGCCAGACAAAGTATGAAAGATTGACAAATCATTACACAGATCAGGATTCAATACGAAGAAGCCTAAAGCAAGCCAAAATCTAGAACTCTTGGTGAGCAAAACTAGGAAGTTGGTTTCAAGATGTACACTCCAAGCAAAGGGTATCAGAAGAGTCTGGTCTTTGAGCTTCACAATAATTTGTCAGGCAACAGAACAGGCAAGTGTTTTTTTTAAATAGTGCCAACATGGATAGATCAAAAATAAAAGGGATTTTTGGCTCATCTGTGTTGTGTAAAGTGATTCTCATGTAGATAAACAATAGTAGTCTCAAGGTTGGCAAATGTAGGTTTATGGTTGGGGTTATGCAAGGACTACCAATTGCATCAGGGAGCTATGTATACTGGGTAGTCTTTAGTATTAAAATAATAAGCTTACATTCAGCGTAATAGCGGCATTTCCAAATACACTGTAATGAACATATGGATTTTTATGACCATGCTCATATAGGTAGAGGGATATCTATAGCTATAACAATATTATACACATATATGCAGGGTGGCTTTTTTTGTCCTGAGTACTATATAGTTATTAATACATTTGCTTCATTCACTTAAAAAATCATCAGTTAATTTCATAAATTACCTAATTTCCTAAATAATAAAAGTAATTTGCCATCTGCTGGGTTTTCCTCTTTGGCTACATGAACATCATGCTCTTAAGAATACAAACCCGACTCAGTTTCTGGCCCTTTCCCATACTTGTGTGCAGCTGAAACTAGTACCCCTATCTAGACCATTCCGATGCTGAGCTTGCCCATTCTGCAACTGCTGCTTTTGATAAAAGATATAACCATCGGAGAAAAACAAGGCAATTGCTGGAGAGAGCTCAGCCCTTGTGAGAATGAATTGCCCAGTGGGCCACATTCTATCATCAGAAACTCACAGGAAATTCACACTGGAGTAAGTGTTAAGGGTGTGGGAATCCGTGGGCAGATTTCATTCTTTGTGTTTAACTTGGCAGTCATTGTCCTCACTGCTCACTGCATTGTTTTATAACAATGACATCTTCTTACATGATTCGCATGACTAGGTTTTTAATAGAAAAACCTGCTGGTTTTCATAAGTTTTGGGAAACAGAGAATGGATAGGGAGGGTGTTATAAAGTTTTTGTCCATTTTCAAACCAAGCAATAAATCTAAAAATTTCTGTGTCCAATGTGAACCACAAATGAAGAAGTGCTGAAAAGTGTTCAAATTAGTTTTCCAGTGCAGTGGGAAAAAAAGCAAGTGCTATCGTATCAACTTCTGCAGTTTCCCTTGCAGCTCCCTAGCCTGTCTGTCTGTCTCTCTCTCTCTCTCTCCCTCACTCATTCTCTCTCACTCTTTCTCTCTCAAACTCACTTGCCATCCCTCCCTCCGCCCCCCTCCTCTCAGGACAAAAAGCTATGTTTTCACGTGCTGTGCGCTAAGTTCATTAATTGCAATACCTTTCTCAGTTTTGTTGCCACATAGTCATATTTTCCAGCTGAAGGAGTACTGATGGAGAGAAGGAGGTTCTGACCCTGCAATATGGATAAACATGAAAAAATTATGCTAAGTGAAATGTCAGACACCACAGAGCAAATATTGTAGGATTCCACTTGTGTTACGTATTCAGAATAGTCAAATTCTGTCTCAAATGGACAGAGACAAAAGGTATAATTGTAGTTACCCTGCATTAGGAGGAGAGCGGAATAGGGAGTTACTATTTAAAAGGTAGAATTTCAATTTGGGATGATGAAAAAGTTCTGGAGATGATGGTGGTGATGGTTTACAATCATATCAATGTGCTTAATGTCACTGAACAGTATACTTATAAAGGGTGAGGATGGGAAATGTTTGTTATGTGATAGGTATATTTTACCACAGAGAGGGAGGGTGAGGGTGGAAAGGGAAATGGTTTTTTGATCAGTGTAAGATGAGAGGGTGAATGATCTATTAAGGAAATTCTGAAAAACAAAATTTAAAAGGAATTGGAGTTTTCTACATTTTTTGAGACAGAGGCCCTGTGCCATCCCCCTCATGGGACTCCCAAAGGTAGCACATTTCAAAGAATAACTGAGCGATGTGTGCTCAGAAGGTAGATTACAGAAAACAATGTCTCCCATGCAGGGCCAAGAGTTGACTACTCAAGGCTGAGCATGTCTTCAATACCCGTGCAGGGCCCAGATGTTCCTCTTCAAAGGCTTAAATTGCATTAGACCCATGACATTGACACCACTCCTAGGAGAGTAGAAGTGACAGCCAAGAGTGACTAATTCTAGTTTCCTGTAAGTCTAGAAAGCTAATTTTGGTGAAGATTACATTTAATTTAGAAAAATAAATGTAGTATTATTTTTAATACTCTACACTAGAATAAATCTTAGGACCACTGAAAGATTATATTTTCCTGAAAAACTGTGGGTGAATATGCTATATGTTACAAACAATGGTGTCTAATTATAATAAATGATTGTTTTACTAGGAAATGAGAGACATTTTTATGTAACTGCCTATGAAGTCATAATTATGTCTCATGCGAAACTGCAGTAATTCCTATTAATGGAGTGTTCATATTTTATTACTACTTTCCTTCCATCTCATGAATTATCATTTAACCTGGTTTGTCTTTCTTGCTTTTATTGTCTTTTTCTTCATAGGTTGTCTCTAGTCACTTTTGTAAATATAGCAATATAAATAAAATATAAGAAAATATAAATCATTTTTATCTTAATTCCAAAAAATCCCTGTAATTTCAGTGGATATTTGCTTCTGAATCTAGGATTTGTATTCTCCATATTGGTATATTTTTATGGTATTCTACTATCCTGTTCATCTACACTCTTTTTTCTGTTTAGTATTTGATCATTATTATCAGATCATAAGACACATGGATTTTTTATTTTCTTGAAGAAAATTATATTTAGTCCTTTTTTGTCATAATAAAAGAGGAGATTGAGTTGTAATCAAGTCTGGGCTTCCTCACAGTTGAGATGTAGGGCTCCACCAGTTACTTAACATCTCTAAGAGCTAATACAGAATGTCTCATCTTCTAGAACACTGGCTCATACTTTCTCAATGTTCAGATCTCAGTAAGACAACTCATTATCTGTAAGATAGATTATAAATCTATATATTAAAGTTTCTTTTAACTTCCAATGTTTATAGAAAAAATAGTAAAAATTTATCCTGAACTAATTGAATGAACATTTTTAAGTATCTGTTTATATTGCTTCTAAGCCTTTTGGCTAAGATCAAGTGAAGTAACTGTTACTACAGAGATTCATTGTCTCTGTTTTTAATTAGAACTTTTTTAATTATCCAAGTTTTATGGGAAAATTAATACACAATTTTTTGTTTATACTACTTCAATGGAAAATGAACTATAGTGGCATGTTATGTGAGAGAAAAATAGTATGTCAATTCTTCAAATGAAAGATTAGATTGACATAATATAATAAATAGTCTAAGCAGAATGACTTAAAAACACTACAAATTACACTATAACAATAGATGCCATATGCATTTGCGTAACTGTGAACTGTGGTATATTTTCTTAGCTATGCTATAATTTAAATTGTTAATTTGAACTTTATTGATTTCATAATTATTTTGTGGACATTTGTTCTAATAGTTGCAAAATATTTCTGTTCTGAGAATTAAAATCTAATTTGATTATTATGTGTATCTAAATAGCATTCCAATTTAATCATTCATATCAGCCCTGGAAGTCAGAATTTTTTATAGCAAAAATTGACTTAGTGTCCTTTTCTATTTCTTTTTAAAAATATTATTATTTATTTGAGAGGTAGAGTTATAAACAGTTAGAGGGAGAGACAGAGAGAAAGGTCTTCCATCCACTGGCTCACTCCTCAAATGGCTACAACAGGTGCAGCTGGGCTGATCTGAAGCCAGGAGCCAGGAGCTTCTTCAGGGTCTCCCACGTGGATGCAGGGGCCCAAGCACTTGGACCATCTCCACTGCTTTCCCAGGCCATAGCAGATAGCTGTATTGGAAGAGGAGAAGCCAAAGATTCTAGAACCAGCACCCATATGATACGTTGGCGCCGTAGGCAGAGGATTAACCTACTGTGCCACAGCACTGGCCCCTAGTATCCTTATCTAAAATTGATCAAGTACTGTCCATCTTTAAGAGTTGTTTTGAAGGTTAAATTTAGCATAGTAGATAATGAACACAAACTCATTTCTTTGGCTTATTTACAATTTCACTTACTCCCTATCACTGTTATTCCATTCTCTGTTTTATAATTAAAGTCAATATCAATAAAATCAAGTATAGGATGAGGAATATTTTAATTATTAATGCCTTTCTGCAAATTAGCCTAAATGTTGGCCAACAAACCCTCAGTGACTTTGAACAAAGGTTCTCCGTTTACTTATAACTTAGGTTTTTGCATATATGAATCATGTTAGCTTTCAGTGGATTGCTCAACCTGGAAAAAAAACAGGTAGAGCAAGATGCACACAGTGGCTCCTGAGGCCACATTGCAAATACTCCCTCTCCCAAACTTTGCATTGACCAACGCAACTTACACAGCCACTCCTGGAGTGGAACAGATAAGTCCAAACAAGCCTCTTCCAAGTAGAGACACCAGAGGGGGGAACCCTAAAGGTGGTCCTAAAGAGAGGCCTCCATACTTAAAGCTAATACTAGTCTCTCCAATAGTAAGAGTTTCCTATTTTGAGGAGTGGTGAAATAGGACAAATGATCCCTGGCTACCTACTTCATATCAATAACAGGATATTCCTTCTTACATGCTAAAAATCAATATACTATGATATAAAAAGTTTAGGCATCTCAAAAAATGTTTCATATCCAATGTTATAGTTTCTCTTCATGTAACAGTTGTTTTGAAACTTAAAAATTATTTTCCTTGAAAAATAACTTGTAGATATTTATATTGAAATAGTTTTATTTAATAGAAGTTTATAGTTTAGGGGAGATAGGATTAATTATTTTTAACACTCCTTTCTTTCTAGGATAAGACCATGGAAAACACCTTGTATTACAATGGAATTATACCAGGCTTTGGAAAATGGAACCATTACTGGACAAGCATTCCCAGGAACCTAAAGGATACTCTAGTGAATTATTAAACTTATTAAACCTAGCTCAAAAGAAGCTTGAGTTTCAGCAAGAATTGTTGATGTTTTTATTTTAAACCACTATAGAATATATGCTTTGCCTTATGCTTCCTTTATTTTCCACAAATCATCATCCTAAATAAATATATTCATCATAATAAATATAATAATAAATATAAATCATAAATATAATAATCATAAATAAATGTATTCTTATTAATATGTTTCTTTTGGACAACCAAATATTTCTATTAATGTTTTCTGGCTTACTTTTTTGGCATCCTAAAAAGTGGCAAAAATACTTACTATAACAATAATTTTAGAGGGCCAAAGATTGTTAAATAAAATGATTTTGACATGTGAACCCTAATTAGAAATGTTTAAATAAAATACCTTGTTTTAATCCCATTTGTTTGGCTATAAAAGTGAAACACAAATAGATTCCATATTTTGCTTTCAAAAACCTATGAAACAATATAATTTTTATTACTCTCTTAGACCTTCTCACAAAGCACAGGCTATTACTATGCACTATATATCTGTATAAGCAGGGAGACATTATACCCATTGTACAATGGTATTTCAAAAAGCTTGTGGAGAAATGTTATTAGAATATGTTTATTCTGGTGCAAAGAAAATTTGAATTTCTTTGAATTGGAATTCATGCATAGTTTTCTCATGATATGTATTTTCTATGAATTTTTGAAGACCATTTCTACTTACCCAAAGTGTTTTTCCATAAATTTATGTCTGTATGTGATTCTGAATTATCTATTTTAAGTTTGTATTGCTATTATAACACTTCAGTCATTATCATTGGTGTTCTGACGCATTTTCTGTGGTGCCATGGGCATTTACAACATCTTCCCCTATAGAGAAGCATAGACATCCATTGCTTGACCATTTGACGTTTGGCATTATTACTTCTTCTCAGACTTGATTTACACTTGATAGTAACTGTTGATTTATACAAGATCTAAAAAAATATGTAAAATAAGTAGAAATGATGATAAAAATAGTGGAGTTGAAAATATCAGTAGAAATGTAAAGATCATATTTGGTTCCTCATCTGTCATTCCAGACAGAGAATGTATCAATTCAATCAAAGTGGATTTTGAAAGTGAATTTCATACTTCATGTGACTTGTCTAATAAAATACTTTTGGCCATTCCAAATGTATGCAAATCCAAAAAAGATTTAAATTCTCCCAACATTTGAACACAAATAACTTTTAATTGGATCTGTAATCATGGTAATTATGACACAACTCTCATAAGCGGTGAGCAAATGCTGGGCTCAGAAATTCACAATTTTTAGAACTGTTTTTTGAATCATTGAAAAAATTATTGAGAGCTTAATACATACCTTGCACTAACCCAGCCATGAGAGATTAAAACATAATTAAAATATGGCCACTTCTCTTGGGACTAAACCAGACTGAGAAGAAATTTATTTAAATAAATCTCTAAATGTTGCAGTAAATACAGTAAATACAGTATTTTTGTATAAAGTATAATGATGCCATCCAGGAAGAAATGATCAAAATATTTAATTTTGCTGAGAACATATTGTGTTCTGAGAGATAATAGTTGGGTTTGGTATTCTGATGTAGTGACTGAAGACACCACCCGTGACACCAGCATCTCATGGGCAGAGATCTATGTCCTGGCTGCTCAACTCAATCCAGCTCCCCGCTAGTGGACTGCAAAAAGCAACTGAAGATGGACCAATTGTTCAGGGCCCTGCCATCATGTGGGAGACCCAGATGAAGATCCTGGGTCCTGGCTTCAGTCTGGCCTAGCACCAGCCATCACAGCTAAACAAGAACACAGTAGAAGAATCACACCAATCATGTAAATATGAGATACCAATGGCTTGAATTGGAGCAATGCTAGTGCAGTTATTACATAAGTGACTAAAGGCATTTGGATCTGGCTAAAAAGCCTGTGAGAGTTTCCCAGGCATGGAAAGCCAAAACACTGCGGCAAAAAAAAAAAAAAAAAAAAAAAAAAAAAAAATGACCTAAATGAAAGATCTCTGTGAGTGAGATCCCAATGGAAAGAGCGGGCCATCAAAGAAGGAGGTACCTTTCTCTGAAGGAAGGAAAGAAATTCTACTTTGATTATGGCCTTGTATAAATAAGATCAGAGTTGGTGAACTCAAGAGGCTTCCATAGCCTTGGCAGCTCATGACAAGAGCCTCGGGTGATTACTGAAGTCATATAAGAGTGCCAATTGTTAAATCAACAATGGGAGTCACTGTGCACTTACTCCCCATACAGGATCTCTGTCCTTCATGTGTTGTACTATGTGAATTAAAGGTATAACTACTACTAAAACAGTACTTTATACTTTGTGTTTCTTTGTGGGTGCAAACTGTTGAACTCTTTACTTAGTATATACTAAATTGATCTTCTGTATATAAAGATAATTGAAAATGAATCTTGATGAAGAATAGGATGGGAGAGGGAGTGGGAGATGGGATGGCTGTGGGTGGGAGGGTGGTTATGGGGGGAAAAAGCCGCTATATTCCAAAAGTTGTACTTTGGAAATTTATATTTATTATATAAAAATTGAAAAAAAGAAAAAAAGTCCTGGTTGTGATAATACAAGCATAAAGTATTATGAATCTTCAAATAGCTTAACTCATTTAATTTTTTCAACATTCATATGAAGCAGGTTCTATTGTCATCCCCTACATTTCACGTAAGGAAATGAGCACACACATAGGTTAGTATCTAGTAAACTTTTAAGATACTTTTTCCTTCTCAATTTGTTTTTGACAATAATCATAAGGGAAATTGTAAGCCATATTAAATCAATTAATATATATTTATTTTGCCAAGACTTCAGTATGTCCCTAAATGAAAATAAAGCAAAATGTCTGGTTACATTACACAATCTAATTCATTACAGTAAAAAAGAATTGTCCTTAGCGGTTGCCAGAAGAGGTCCATGATCATTCGCCACCATCCTCAAAGTTTACTCTTGTGTTTGATCTGAACGCACAGTAAACAAGGGGGGCCTGTACAAGTGTTCTACTGCTTTTCTGTTTTAATTTCTTTGATGACATGCTGCCTCATACCTTCCCTTTATAAATAATGCAGGCCTGGGTACAGTTCTTTTAAATCTTTCATGCTTACAAACCATGAAAATATATCAGCATGTACAAATTGCTGTCTGAAGGTGCTTGTCAAGCTCTTGTATTATAAATGAAATAAGATACAGGAGCTGATACCTGTTCACATAAATGGAGAATTCTGACAGTGTGAAGTGGTCTGAATTACCATGAAATTACAGAATTATAGGATAATAGATCTATAAGGACCTTGTGAGATCTGCTGTTCAAGCTGCCTGCCCTGAGGCAGGTAAACATCTGAAACACTTTGTGAAAATATTTTCCTAGTCTTTCTGAATATCAGCAAGCTGAAAAACTCCAGAACCACCAGAGTGGCTCATTCGAATGACTTGGGATTTAAAAAGAAAGTAAAACTTTTCTTTCTTTCTTTCTTTCTTTTTTTTTTTTTTATTTGACAGATAGAGTTAAGCAGTAAGAGAGAGAGAGAGAGAGACAGAAAGAAAGATATTCCTTCCGTTGGTTCACCCCCTAAATGGCCGCCACGGCCAGCGCTGCGCCAAGTGTTTCTTCCTGGTCTCCATGCAGGTGCAGGCGCCAAGCACTTGGGCCATCCTCCACTGCCTTCTCAGGCCACAGCAGAGAGCTGGACTGGAAGAGGGGCAACGGGATTAGAACCCGGCGCACATATGGGATGCAGGCGCTATAGGCGGAGGATTAGCCAAGTGAGCCATGGTGCCGGCCCCAGGAAGTAAAACTTTTACATATATATATATATATATATATATACATACATAAACACAAAAATGGCCCCTAATTTATATTAAATGCTATCCCTTTTTTCTCTATAGCGAAACAAAAATCAATTTATCCTGTTTCATTTTAGGACCTCATTATCTTTTTATAATTTCTTAGTTGTCTCTATCTAAGTTTTTAGATCATTTTGAATATTAAGTAATGAAAATTGAAAATTTTGACTACTTGTATAATAATATTATACAATATTGTTGATTTTCAATCATTGCATATTATGGTCATTTTGAATAAAACAACTTAATTTGTAGATTTCCTTCCACTTTCCCTTGACAATAGTACTTCCACTGAATTACCTACAATATTATGATCTCTTATTCAGAGACTACAGTAATACTTTTACCTGTGACTTTGCTTTATCATTTTTCCTTTCACAATGGAGAAAAAATAATAAAAGTGAGTTTGCCATTTTCCTCAAGAATTCCATTGCAATTCTTATTCATGCTAACACTGATTATTAAATAATGAAGCTTCCCATACCCTTCCTCTAAATATAATCCTATGTTTAAAAAATCTTAGAATTTGAGTCTCTGTACTCAAAAGGATGTGCGAAAAAATTGAAAAGGTTAAATCCTGGCTTTTCTTCTTTCTCTGTGTCTTGGGTTATTCACTTTGGGAAACTGGGTACCATATTTGAACAGCTCTGTGCTAAGGCCTACATGCAAGGAACTGAGGCATCTTGGAAATAGCCAGCAAGGAACTGAAGCCTACCACTAATCACATGAGTGGAGTGAGGAGTGTGTCTGCCAGCCCTACTGAGTCATTTGATGACAACAGCTCTTGCTAAGGCTTGTGGTGCTGAGTTAGAACCACCCAACTCACCCCCAATTCCTGGCCCTAGGAAACTTTGATACATTATATGTTTTATTCAAGCCATCAACTTTCAGAGTAGTTTTTTACAGGGCCATGGTACCAAATACAGTGATGAGTCATGTTATTTATTGTATGTCTTTTTATTTTTGTTTACTGATTTAAAAATATAAAACATGCTTGAAAATACCCATAATTGTTGAAATAAGTACTTCATGATACACATCTGTTATCTGAGAATGAACCACTATTTTTCTCTAGTGCATTTGTTTTTTAAATAGTACTTAGCTATTCACTTTTCACTCTTGATTTGTGGAACAAACCATGTGACTGCTTGAAAATATTTATGGAAAATAGTACTAAAAGGATGAATTTATTGTGGCTTAAAAATTTTAAGTTCATGAGTAGCTGTTTCATAATAAA